CACATGCAACCCGTTCATTAATGATTTTATTAATGATAAATAATATTCATCTAGCTAGAACATCCTATTAAAATTGATTAAATCTGTTAAAATAATTTGACATTTGATATAAGAGCCACATGCAATTGTTTCATTTAAAAATGTAAAGTTTCCAGGCGATTTTAAAAAAACTTCTCACCTTTGCCACAATTGCTAATCCTCTGGATTAGCAGAAATATTTCAAGACTAAAACTGGCCAAATCGGTTACGCAATACATCTCCCAAACGGTTTGGCCGCCTTTATGAAATTTTATAATCGCGATCAGTATGACTGAGAATTTAACATCTATTTTTCATACCCTTAGGTATGAAAGGTTGGCCACTCCTAAGACATTATTTTCCTATTTTGAACCAATATCTTTTCTTTCATTTTTTTATAAAACGCAATCAGAAAATACATAATATAAGCATTAAATTTTCACCCTCCTACCACAAACCTCCTATCCTACTATCACCTTGTGATATTCATTTTAGTAGGCTTATTTTTCCTTTATAATATACCAACTTGTATAAATTATAATATCATTAAATCAAGTTGTTGTTTAAAGTACTAAAATTAAATTAAGTTTGAGAAATAATTTATTTAACTTTCATTTTCAAATTATATCCAAGAGCCGGCTTATTATCTTCGCTGTACAGTTAAGAGTGTGTTTTGAAAAATCGTTGCTAGGGCACGATTAATGGGCGCTTTCATTTAGTAGTCAGATTAAAACGTGAAATGAATTGAAAATTACAATAACATTTAATAAAACAGTATTGGAATTATATCTACATACATTTTTTCATTTATTCCTTAATTTGGAACTAATTTCATCATGTTTTGTATAAAGATATCGTGATATGAAACACGATATTGAATTTATATGAAGATAAAAATGAAACAGCAAAATATTGAATTAAATAATAGTTAATAAATTTATTTTACATTTCATTAAGTGGATTTATAAATTTCTACGTGATCTATTTAACATGTTGTGACATATAAAATTAAATTAAAAATCGGAAAAGCACGTGCTATCAAAGTGAAATGTCAGATTCCGAAGATGAATTTCATGGTCAGCAGAAAGTTTGTGTCATTGGCGATTCTAATACTGGAAAGGTGAATTAATTAAACTAGATTTAAATAGAAAAAAATCTTAACCGAAGTTACTATCGTTTGTATGCTTCAGAAGTAACTTAAACAATACCCATCATAATGATAAGAAGAGAATTAATAATAATATAAATGCTCAGTTGAAAACTCTTCCACGCCAATTACATGTTGTTCATTATTATCACATTAGTTAAATAAAAAACATATATTTTAAAAAATTATGTTGAAAAAGTAAAGATCGCCTCAAGGCAATTCTGAAAAAATTGAACAAAATAGAATTTTTAATCAAATTAGAAAATTATTTCATCTTAAAATTTAAGTTCCCGAAAATCAAGTAATAACTATTTTAAAATTTAAAGTAGGTGTCAATTTTATATTAAATTCACTAATTAATATAATTATTTATATGAGTAAATGTGCTTCCATCCAGTCAGGGATATCACCAATGAGATACTTTAACTCATACTCATAATCAATTTTATCTTTTATGGATATAATTTATAAATTATATCCATAAGAGATAAAATTGATACTTTAACTCATACTCATAATCATTTTTATCTTTATGGATATAATTTATAAATTATATCCATAAAAGATAAAATTGATTCTTTAACTCATACTCATAATCATTTTTATCTTTATGGATATAATTTATAAATTATATCCATAAAAGATAAAATTGATTCTTTAACTCATACTCATAATCATTTTTATCTTTATGGATATAATTTATAAATTATATCCATAAAAGATAAAATTGATTCTTTAACTCATACTCATAATCAATTTTATCTTTTATGGATATAATTTATAAATTATATCCATAAAAGATAAAATTGATTATGAGTATGAGTTAAAATATCTCATTGGTGACATCCCTGCCTGGATAGAAGCACATTTACTCATATAAATAATTATATTAATTAGTGAATTTAATATTTTAGACCAAACCTACAGTAAATTATTATACTTTGTGGTTTGTTGCACGAATAAAATATTAGAATAAATGAGAATTATCTGTCCAAGTTATTTTAATATATTTTGTAACTCATCGGCAAGAATCTAATTAGATTCATTTTTTTTTTTCTAAACTAAGAAGATCTCATTGGAGTTCTTCTTGGGTTTCGCACCCGAAGATTGTCAATTTCGCTCATAGGAATCTTTATGTATTGCTGAATAAAACAGAGTTAAAAAAAATATTCATTTTGTAATTTTCTTTATCAGACTAGTCTAATTCGTCGGTATTGTGTCGAGGATTCCTGCTTCAATGAGCAGGTCAGCCCGACGGCTGGTGTCGATTTCTATATACGCGAAGAAATCGTTCTACAATGCAAGGATCCCGTGAAAAATAAGAATAAAGAATTAAGGACATCATTGAAAATATGTGATATTGGAGGAAAATGCTCGAAGGGAACAAAGATGCTGGCTAGCTATTTGCATGGAGCCAATGTATGAAAGTATAAATTAGATAACCTAATATATAAAATCACATAGGGTAGGTCGGGGCACAAAGGTCCAAGTTCACTTTTAGTTATTATACTGTGAAAACTAACTACAGTTAGTTACAAATACCCCGCATTACGTACTTAACACGTTCCGGGGGAAAGCTCAATGTGCGAAAAGCGATTTTCTATACAAATACATAAAAAATTTTTTAATTCCTTCTGCAGTTTGAAATGTGGTCATAGAAAATAAGATATATTTTACATATAATTAGGACATTTGAAAAAAAATATTACTGATTTACGAAATAAGTTATTATCAGAGTCGTACCGCTTCTTACTTTTGTGCTATTTTAGCTTCTGAATTTTTAAAGAAACTGTCGATAGTTTTTTCTTTAATTCTCTTCTTTAAGACCTATCACAAATGTTATGTAAGCTTATCATTGTTCAACAAGAATTCTTACGCGATTTTTCTAAATTTTGTCATTTGGTCCTCTTATATCTTAGAAGCAAAAAAGACTACTATTTTGTTCTTGATTTTAAATGGAATTTACATGATGATAAGTGTAGGACAAAAAAGTCCACTACTTAGTTTTTAATTTTTAAAAAGATTTTACCAAATGATACATTATTCAATCAATCAACTTTCCTAGATTATCATTTTGGTGTATGATGTAACCAACATGAAGAGCTTTGAAAATTTGTCCAAATGGATTGAACTCGCTAAAAATCAAAATGTTGGAAAAAACATATTTTATGCAGTTTTGGGAAATAAAAGTAAGTTGACTTTATAATTATAAAGCTATTGAGGTTGAAATATATTATTTTGTTAAATTAATTTTCACAAATTATGTTTATATGACAATCTTCAATATAGCTTTTAGCTATGTAATCCCAGGATTATATAATAGAGAGCATGAATTATTCTATTATTTCTATCCACTTATAAAATTAATGCCATAAAGCAAAGATTTAACTTTAGTTACATGGTATGAAGCAAAGATTTAAATTTAGTTTTTTTTTTTCAAATAAGAAATGATTAAGGTCATCGTAACGAAACAGTTGGAATGAAATGCTATATTGAAAGTGCCAGAAATATATTCTGATTATATAAGTATACACTTATAAATCAATTATTATTTATATATTTATTATTGAAAAATATTCATTTAATTAAAGATGATTTAGAACATCAACGAGCAGTTCGCTTGGATAAAACAGAATCGTTTTGCAAAAAACACGCTATTCAGGATTATTTGTTATCTGCCAAAAGCGGCGATGGGGTAAGACTTTATACCTAATTTATTAGCAATTGCTAATAATTTAATAAATTAAATTCAATTCTATTTATTAATTTTTAGATAACCTCGGCTTTCCATGATGTCATAGCAGCATACCACGGATTCCAATTAATTGAAAAAAACTTGATATTAACACAGAACAAGATTGTTCCAAGTGAAAATGAAGAATCAACAATTAATGCCGCACATCAAAATGAGACCAATGATATAAATAATACAGAACATAACAAAAAGTCAAAAATTTCTACTGTATGCATTTTACAATAAAATAGACTAACGATAGCCTCTGTTCTATTATTTCAAATCGGGAATGGTAATTTGAATACCCTCTATATGTTGGGGGGTATTCAATGCAACTTTAATATTATTTTTATTTATTTCTAATAACAAATGTATAATAAATTCAAAAATAATCGTTAAAATTATTTTGTCGATTTCAATAAAACCATGTATGGAGTTGTAAATTCTGGTCTTATTAAACAAACTAAAATATTGGGGACCTGCAACAAGTGGTTTTATCATAAACATTAATTGAAGATTGGATCAATAGCCCTAGATTTTAGAAAATACTCTGTGTCTATGTGTTAGGCTCAAAAATAACTTAGATGTATGGAAAATTTGTACATATTAAATAAACTGCTACTTATGAATCACTTATGAATTGTCACATATCGGAAACTTCATGCAAGTTGCCTTAGGACAAAATGCCACGTACGACTAGTTAAATTATTTTTTTTAATCAGAACTACTACGAGAAGAATTTCAGATTTACTAGTCTGTGTTTTTTTTGTGAAACTTTGCATGGTGACAGAGTTGATAGGAAACAAACCCCTTAACTGTCAATAGAACACATCCAATTTTTATATACTGCAATTAATTTTTATAATCAAACCACTTATCATCGTACGTGCGTATAGTTAGCAGCACAAGTACCTAGCAGCAAAATCATTATTAGTACTATAATATTATAAGGGTTGTGTTCCTTCTATCAATTCCGTTGTCATGCAAATTTGCATCAATATCCCAGGCGAGTAAACCTGAGGCTAATAAATAAAAATATAATAAAACAGAGTTCTGATTTAAATGAAAATTTAATTTGAACATTGGTCAAGTCTTACAAACCTTGGCACATTGATTCAATTTGTCTTCAAATTCTCTATAATTAATACAGAAGACATTTCTTCTTCAAATATAAATGGTATGCTGCTGCATTTCACATATCCACATATATGTACATAAATACTTAATTACATGAATAAAGTACCCAACACTATGCAAAAACTGCTGCAATTAGTAACAGATATAACAAATAATAATTTTTATCAAATGAAATAAATAGTTTTAATATTGGCAAGTTTACACTTTTAAATAATTCATTTGCTCATGACAAATAGGTTCTTTTTCACAAAAAAACTTGACAGTTAGCTGTCATTTCAAATCAGTTGCATCTTGCTGGGTATTTCATTTTCTATTGCACAATGGTAAAAATAGTTGCTTAAATATTACATAAATGCACATTTATATACATACACATATATACATAAAATGTCTTTCTACTTATATTTATATATTATAAAGTTATAAAATTTACATTAAAATTACGAAATATTTAAATTAGGCCCCAATATATACCCTCAAACAACAGGGTGAACAAAATATATATTGAATTTCCTTTGTAAAGAATAAATAGGTAAATCATCAATAATAAATATTCAACTAAAATATTCATGCTATTGTATGTCACATAAGTTACAGTTCTGTACTAATAGTACATATTTTAAAAGTGTAGAAATAAAATAAAATAATTAGGGCAAGCATTACATAAGATCATAAAAACTACTCCATAACTTATTTAAATAAAAGTTTTTAATGTAAGGTACATTTGATATAGAAGTAATAATTTAATTTTTTGGTAAAATGCAAATCAATTGCAAATAAAAATACCACAAATAAGTGATGTTAAAATTTTAGATTTGTAAAATAATTGCAGCGCATCTAATAATATATTATTTTAATTTACAAAATTATTAATTAATTGTATCTGTAAAATATTTTTACTGGAATTTGAAATAAACTGGCTGTAATTGATAAGAAATGAGCAAAAAATATATTTAAAACTAGATAAATTGTGATGCAAAATTGTAATATATATTACAATGTTATTATATAAATAACATTCAGCAATCGAATAAATGTAAATACTTATATAAAATACAAAATGTCTCATAATTATTATAAAAGTATTGTCGAATTTGTAGGAAACTATTTAACACATACGTTTAAAAGATTTTTCATATATATTAAATCTTATTTAATATAGTTTAAAAAGTTATCAACAATTAAAAAAAGTGTAATATGATAAATATTATAAATAAAATTAATTATAGTTATAAATGTTCTGAAATATTATGAATCTAATTTGGCAAATTCTTGTAAAATTTAGAATTAGTTCCTTTGAATAATTTTTTTATACTTTGAGGTTCCTTGAACAGTTAATTCACATTTATATGCTTAAAAATTTGATTATAAAATTTAATTGCTGACATTTATGTTACATAATAAATATACTGAAATATGGCATATTTTTTAAAATTTATCAATCAATGTAATAGTTTTAAAGAAAATATATTAAATCTGTCATGTTTTCAACAAATGTTCATGCAATCAAAATGTTATATATATTTATATGTTAAAAGTAGTTAAAATTTATGTTAAAATGTATGTTTAAATTCTTGAAAGATAACATCAAGTAAAATGGATAAAGTAATGATTTTTACAACATCTTTATTATTCCAAGCGATACCACATAAAATATTATGTCATCATCAGTCAGTATGAACTTTTTAGAAGAAAAATGACACAAATATTATGTGTTAGTTTTCTTATAAAAAGTTCATACCCATAGTGCACTGACGATGACGTAAAATGTTATGTGGAAACATATGGAATAATAAAGATGTTGTAAAAATCTTCAGTTTTTCCTTTTTACTTGATGTTACGCACTGCAAGAATTCAATCACATATGTATATATTTGGATATATATATATATATATATATATAAATATATATATATATATATATATATATATATATATCCAAATACACCACAAAATTAATAAAATGAAAAAATCACACGGCATATACATAAACACAGCTCCTCAATTTCTAATCTAATCTTACCATGTTTATTTCAGCTTAACATTAGGATATGTAGGAAACCGCGCCGTATGCATTACGTCGCGAACTTTGAAACTTGGAAATAGACCTAACTGTGATGTTCTAAAATTCGTCCCTTTGGAGAAACCGTCCCAATGATTGCCAGCGACACCTAGAAATATTATTAAATATAATATACCATAAAATCTTTGCCAAAAACTAATCACACGATTCCCAAGCAATATTTTTCGAACAATTTTATGAAATCGATTCAGCACTTCTGAATAAAAAATAAGTAAGCCAAATATGAACCTACCGATGATATCACCAGGTTTCAGGTGCAACTCTCCTTTGCGCACAGGTTCGTGCGGTAAAACGGCTTCACGAGTGTGTGAGCTTTGTCCTCCATAATAATAAATATCGTCCAAAGAATAAAACCTGTAATTCAAAAAAAAAAGTAGATTATAAAAAATTTCATTTGTGCTAAAACTCTTTTATGTGGTTGTCAATCGGATATCAAGAAATTTCTATTTATCATTTGTTTATATTTACCTGTCTGAAGCATCAGTATGCATAGTCTGCATTATTTCATAAGCAACCCTGCAGACTTGAGAACTGAAGGTGCATACCAAATGATCACTTCGTGCTAACAAAATAATGTCCAGAACGATGCCACGCAACGACTCGTCACTATAGCGTGATGCTACTGATGCTGATCGAGATATAGATGGATCGCCAATGACGATGTAATCGGGATAATCTTGCCTAATTTCTTCTATAACCTGATGACAAGTATTAGTTATAAAAAAATTACAATGTTTATTGATCTTTTTAGTTGATATTGTATATCTTAGTAAGTAATACCATAGATAGTTCATAGAGCAAAATATCTTACTGATGGTTCATGAAAGCAAATATATTTTTGGTAATCCGATAATATAAATGTGCCGTGTCATATAAAAAATTGAATCAATCTTAACTAAGAAATGGGGTCTGTCTACAATTACTACGTACTATTAGTAATGCCCAAGTAAATGCTCATGTAACAAATGTTTTTAATTCAATTATAAGTCAATAAGTAAATAAATAATAATGAATATCATATTTTTAATAAAAATATATTCAAATCAATCTTTATCATACAAATTAAAATTAAGTCAGTATATGAGTTAAACATAACCATATATTATTTAATTCACATATCTTCGGTACTCCATTTATAAGCCTCGTCTTCATCAGCTTTTTTCGCATTCATTTTTTCAAACCATTGTTTTTCATAACCATTACCCCGGTCAACACCATCCCATCTGTATCCTGGTTTAATATCAAACCTGTTTGAAGGATATGCACCTTTATATTCTGGTCTAACCTGAATTCCTTTTTTTACATTTTTCTCCATTTGCTTTTGCTGTATATATTCCAACATAGGATCATCAGCATGCAAACGATCCCTTAAATGTTTATCTAAATCATCATCATTTGCATATCTTGCTAAAGGTTTATTCATTTCATGTAGATCTTCCTCCATTCTAGATTTCAACTCTTCAACTTGTTTTAAACCTTTGCCCCAGCGTGAGTATTTTTCTTTATGAATCCTTTCACGTTCAAGTCTGGCTTTTTTTGTATCTTCATCTTCGGATTCTTCCTTTCGTCCAGATTTCCTGGAAACTGTTTTAGCATATCGACCTGATATTTCATCATTCATATTTAGCAGCTGATCCTTCTCCTTTTTGCGAATTCTTTCTGTTTCAATGCGTAAACTTTTCGCATCTTGCAAACCAGCAATTTTACCATCTAGGGTTTTTTTCATTTTTTCTGAGGATGTTTGATCATTTTCACGTTTAGATTTTCTAGGGGGACTTTGGTCAGTATCAGAATACCTTTCTCTGGAGTTATCTCTGTCATTACAATTACTTTTTGATTTTCTTGATATCTTTTCATAGTCCCTAGATCGCCTTGGAGGGCTCTGATCGGTATCTGACGAGTTTCTTCTAGAATTAACTCTTTCATGCCTAGAACCTGTAGATCTATTTGAAAACTTATGGTTATAATTATTTCCTCCAAATTTAAAATCGTTAGATCTTCTTGGTGACATATTTTCAGCATAAGTACTTCTAGATTTTTCACTATATTTATTTCGGTGATTAGATTCCCTAATTTTGTACTCATTGTGCTCCAAATCCTTATCACATTTATTAGAATTATACTTACGTGGTGGGCTTAAATCATGAACAGAGTCACTCTTATTTTTATTTTTATGTGAAGATTTACTCTCAGACCCTCCTGGTGGGCTCAAGTCAATTTCAGAATTTGACCTGTATTTTCGTTTTGGACTCAAGTCTAGATCAGAATAATGATTTTTCTTTCCACCCAAATTATCTTTACTTGAATTTTTTCTTTCGTTTTCTTCATTTTGTTCAAGCTTTGAGAATTCTTTTTTCTCATGTATTTTAGAAATAAACTTTTTTGACAAATTTGAAGCTTTATTATACTCTGATCTTCGTTGTGGACTTAAGTCATGATCAGATTTATTAGATTTTTTACTTGAATTACCTTTATCCCGATATTTATATTTTGATGACTCGTCTTTATCATGAGTTCTAGAATGAGACTTTCTTGTTGGGCTTAAATCATTGTCACTATTTTTTGATATCGATCTGTTAGGACTCTCTCTGTGTCTCCTTGGAGGTGTCAAATGATCTTTTGCTCTAGATTTTCTGGGGGGGCTCATATCATCAGAAAAACTATTTTTCTTCTTCTTTAAATCATCTTCCAAATCCTGATTCAGGCTATACTTATTAGAACTATTTTTGTCAGAAATTCTTCTAGATAAATTTAAATCATCATCAACTTTTATATCTGGATAGGATTTTTTCCCCCATCGATCATCACTAAGTTTACTATCAGTTACAGTTTTCCAATTTGCTGTAGTTCGCGCTAATACTTTAGACTCATCAATAAATTCAGCAACTTGGGGAGCGTCTTCATCAGCGAGTAATAAATCTAATTGTACTTCTTCGGAAAATTGGGCACCATTGGCTGGTGCAATTTCATCATCATCTACAATTTTAAGTCCTTCGCCTGTTGTTTTCGAACGTTTCTTCTTTTTTTTCGGTTTCGTTCCATCACTTTTTGATAAATACTTTTTAAGATATTCTTTCTGTGATAATTTTTGTTTAGGCATATCACAACTGTCGTAAAATTAGTTATATTTTATTATTTTATTTAGTTTAATTGTTTTAAGCACGACTAATATTAGTTTACAAAAACATCGGCACAATTTTCATTGTTATTTTCCTTATTTATAATCGTAATACTTTTATCATTTTGACATTTCTTGAGAAATCCCACACCACATGAAGTTCAGCAACATGCCGCGCAACAAACTAGTAGCCACTAGTAACGCAGATGGCGCCATGTTTTTAATGTCGTATTAATTGAAAAAATGAAAAATATCAATGTTTTCAGAATTTATAGATAATACTTAATAATATACACTAATACTTAATAAATACTACTAATATACAACACTTAAAACTACAAATCACTAAATCATATAATGATGATTTCTATTGATATTACTTTTAATCATGCTTACAGACAGTCCAAATATATCTATCTCAAAAGTAAATTCAATGATTATATCTTGGATACACTGTACATTGAAACGTGAAACTTTGTTTTCACTAAAAGTATGTCAATAGTCCTATTATTACGTTATTCCACATTCGATTCAACAGATGCTCTTTGACATTAACACTCAAAATTGAATTGTAATCATAATTATGACTTGTTATCCATTGCTTGAAGTTTGAGGAAAGAATTTTAAAAAATTATATGAGACAAATTACAACAAATTATTAAGCGAAAACTTAAATATTATTATATCCAGATATTAATTAATTTTTTTAAGTTTTTGTAATAAATATGATCGATTAGATTTTCAAGTTTATTTTTTCTTCTGCTCCAATAATGAAATATCAAAAGTATCAAAAATATGTTATTTACCGTTGGATCATCAGTGGCTACATAAACCCTCCGCACAACCTTTTCTGACATTTCTCTCTGCTTGTACCAGTCTTCTACATGTGTCATATATTCTGCAACTTTATGAAGAGCAGCTTCAGTTCCCACTTTATCAGTTCTTCTCACATGAATACTACAAAATTGAATAAAACCCAAATATTAATAATAAATTGAAACTGTTTTTTTAATCAATACTGAAACTTACCCAACTATAGGCTTTGCATAACCCAATTTATCCATGCCATTTTTTATCATATCTTCTGTATTTTTGGTAGGCCGAAGTAAATATTTTAAAATTTGTCCTATCCACCATACAATAGGATCGCCATGCAATCTAGCCAATCTATCAGCAAGATCTTCCGGTACAGCTAATGGCAAAAATGGTGGTCTAGGAGAAATGGAATCTATGATTGGTAGTGTAATAACTTGTGTAGAAGGTTTGCCTAGAATAGATTATTTTAGTATTAACAATGTTCTTCTTGTAAATATAAAAACGGTATATATACGGTAGATATAAAAAGGTATTTTAAAATAGATAAGTCATGAATTTAAGTTTATATTATTGAGAAACAAGTACCTGGCCAGGAACCATGTGTAGTTCCCTCTGCATTTCTACATGTTTCTGATAGAGGCAAAAACACTTCTTCCCAACCTGCTTTGTGGTATCTCCAGCCTTTACTATTTAATATTAAAGTTCTTTCTGTTCCATAAGCTATTATGAAACAATATGCAACATGATGCAATTGACAGCCAAAGCCGCAACCCTAAAATTGTAGTAAAATTCATAGATTTAAATTATCTGATAATAATGGACATAAATTTTCTACCACTGATAAATTTGAATAATGATTATTTACTTGAATATCAAGTATACTGATTTAGCACAATATAAATATAATAAAATCAAATACTGTACCTTATTCAAATTGCAAACTAATTTTTTAGCCGTGTTACAGTCTTTTGGGTTCTGTAGATAATGAAATCTTCTTTGTACTAAATCAGACAAATCTCTAGACTCTTGCTCTCTCCAGTTATTGAAACCATCATACTAAAAATAAGTATAATTATATATTTATAAATATATTGATTAATTCAAATGTTGCTTATAAATAATAATATGTATATAGATAATATATTGGACATCATGGCCTTATTCATAAACTTGCTCTACACCCTGAAATAACTGAATTTATTAAAGGGAAGACAATTATGTCTCACTATATAAAGCTTATCAAATGCTTTAGTTTGTCACAGCATTTTTCAAACCTCCAACGGAAACTTTTATTACTAAGTTGACATATACCTTGGCAAGTTTCTCGACATCAGATAAAAGCCACCACTTATTATTAGCTACCATAACCAGTGAATTTACAATTTGCTCTCGATTTATAGTAGAAGCTTTGTGCAGTTGTCCAAGTTCATTACTTATATAATTCCACAATTCTTTTATATTATTTTTGATCTGCAAAAATAAATTTTATTTATAATAGAATTGTGATTTTTGAATAAATCCTCTAAATAATTAAGATTTAGTCTTTTTACCTGTCTTCTAGTCATTTCATATTCAATACTTGGTTCTCCAACTTCTTGATTTTGTTTATTATTTTCAATTTTATCAGCATATTCAATTGGTAACATGCCTTCAGCAGCCGTTACTCTGTCATTTAATGCTTTTAATATTTTCTCTTTAACTTCTGGATCTGTTGGAATGTCACTATAATATAAATATTCATTATTTTATATTATCGGAGTAATGATAATGACTTGATTAATAATCTATACAAACGCCTAATAAATTAAATTGATTGTACGATTTTCACAAATTATTTTATATTTTTCGATAATTTTATATTAATTTTTGAAAATAAAATTATGATGATTTGAAAAAGTATTGAAACTTTAGTTTAATTATCTAGAGAAAGAAAATAGAGAAGGTAACAACTAAATATCAATCTTAATAAATTGTATAATAAATGAATAAAAATAATTAAAAGTGAATAATTTGATTTAAATTATTATTGAACATCATAGAAATGCTAACAAATTTAGGAAGAAGGATCTTTGAAAATATATCAATATAAATTATACATCTTTATATGACTTATTATACATGCCTGAAATTAAATTCTGTAAAGAGCTTTTTCAGCTCTGAGTTTTGTTTCTTAAGTAGTTCTAATTCTCTAAATGCCTGAGATAAGCGCTCATTAGCTTCTTGATCTTGTGAATTATTAGAATTAAACATTGGCTTGGCTGCCATAATCATAATAATAAGCCATACTATAAATAATCCTAATAGGGCTCGACCCCACTTTGATATTCCTAGAGTACGTAAATATTTCATATTTGCAAAATACTTAAATCATTACGATCAATTATTTAATAAGTAGTCTGGATCAGTTGATGACTAATGTTATCACATTTTGCTACCGTTTAAGAAATATATTACAATAAATCATAGCTAACGTTAAGATTTTTATAGCACTTCATAAATTAAAATTAACATTTGTAGAATGTACACGTCAGTAATTATATCACAAATCAGAGTTAAAATTATATATTAAAAAACACTTTTAATTAATTATTATTATTTGATTGTTTGTCATTTCAGTCTAAATTATTATAATTTATGTCTTTGCACAACGCAACTGATTTGACGTTTTTGACAATCAAAGTCAAAGAAAACACTTGAGAAACAGTTCACACCAATATCTTCAATCTTTTGCTCTCACTACTATAAGAAATTTAGACATATGCGCTAATAGATAGCGCCACAAATAAAGAAAACAATTTATAAGTACATAAGAATCAGGCGTTTTTTTTTTTTCAGGGCAGCGTTTATATACATATATATTCGAATCTTATCTATGATAGCAGCGGATAGCAGATTCTCTAAAGCTCAATATCCTAGAAAATATAATAATATAATATTATAATATGCTCAATATCCGCTAATAACGCCAACTTTTATTGAAACAATTAGTATAATATATTATTCTTTGTAAAGAATTTTTTTTATATGCATATAAACTTTTGATTATAAACATTGATTTTTATTAAAGAAATCAATGTTTTTAGTAAATCAAAAAGTGATAAATAAGGTTTTGGATGATTTATTATGGCATATATGTAAAAATTGCAAACATACTTATTATACTTACTATTAATAACATATTACACTTAATATTAATAATTATTGTATTACTTCACATACATATTCACTATGACATATTTTAAAATGATGAAATCGATTCTTTCTTTTATAAATTGGTTTATATTTGCTTTCACTTTTATTTACAAATGTTTGTAGATCATGGTTATGTATTTAAAGTAAGAAAAGCTCTCTTAGCTCTTTCTCTTTGTCTTGTTTTCTTTGTTCGTATATTTTTTTCTTTAGTTGCATCTCTAAATAGAAGCACTCCCTCCGTATTTTCAATATCTCGTTGGATATATTGTAGTCCATGCAAGTTATAGCCAATAATATCCTTTCGAATTAAAATATATGAATTAATTTATTCATTTTTAAATAAATATTGAAAAAGAAATTTTCTTATCACACTTACCCTTAGTTCATTAGTATATTTCATTAATTTTTTCTCTAACTTTCTTATCACAGGAAGTAGAGTTTGATTAGCTACTATAGGTGCATGATGAATTTTTATTAAGAATATAGAAACTTTACATAATATTTCAATATCAGCACCATTAAACATTGTAGGCAACATTTTTAATATATCCGTAACAGCAGAAAATGGAAGTATAAGTAATGTTTCAATCAGATCACTGAAAATAAAAATATTTTTATTTTTTTAATATTCATGAAATTCATTTAGTTGTTTTATATACAAAAAGAATTTGTATTTGTAAAAATAATCATAGTCCTGTATGATACTACTGCATAATCTAATCAATTTAGTATAATAAAGAAGCTGTATTTTTTATGCTGTTCATACCTGCTACGAATTCTTTTGATTGTATCTAGTAAAAATTCTTGAGGCGTGTTTACATTATACGCTAGCATTAATGGTGGCGGTTGAGGTATTGGCACAGACTTTCCAGTTTTCTGTTGAAGTAACTCACATTCATCTAATTCTATTTGATATGCTGCTGATACCTCTAAGCATTCTAAAATGGATTCAGCCTGGAATACAAACAAACTTAAATGTAAATGAATTTATAATCATAAATTAATCCTAACACTTATAATATATATTGTATTATATTTTATCAAAGTGTACCATTCATTTTAATTCTTTTACTCACTCCTTTCTCACTTCCAACTGTTTTTCTACAAGGCAAATTTAAACCAGGCAATCCTTGGACAGCAGTTTCCTCCCCTGTTGCTAATGATGCATCTTCTTCAGCTTGACGTTCCTCTTCCGCTGCATCTTGAAGCACCAATGTCTCATCAGTTTTGTGATATAATCTTATCACTCTATCCGATCCAGAGCTAACTAAATGCCCACCAGCTGGAGACACTGCTAGACCATGACATTCTCCTATATGTCCTTGCTTTAGATTTTTTTTTTGATAAAATAATGTTATTAATATTGTATGACAGTATTAAAATAATAATGAATTTAAAAAGTAAAGATGCTAATTGTTTACACATTCTAAGCTCTATTGAAGATCAAGCGACAATTTTTAAAAGGATTTTATATCATTTCAATTTAATATTTCTGAAATTTAATATATAATAGTATAATATAATACTTCAGAAATACTCACAGGCAATGTTGCAATCTTGTCAAATGTGTCACCATCCCAGTGTTTAATTTTTCCATCTTTTCCGCTTGTGAAAAATTGATGTGTACCATGAACGAATTGTAATCCTGTTACAGAATCATCATGTGCAAATATTGAGCGATGGCAATCACCAAAGTCTAAACCCCATACCTAGAATATGAAAATTAATAAATTTATAGATAAATTTTTTAATAATATCATTAATTTTTATTTAATTTATTTAAAATTAGGTTTACCTTAATATTTCGATCTGCTGACCCAGTAGCAATTAAAGTTGAATCAGAAGAAATATCCATACAAAGCACTGGTAATTTGTGACCATATAAAGATATATAAAACTAAAAAAGTAGTAATACAAAATAAATAAAATCACATAAATAAAATACAATATTACAAAAAATATCACTAAATCCTAGCATATGTGTTTAGAAAATAATTAACATTAATAGGTTAGTAATATATTATATTACATAAAATTGCTGATTTGAAAACATACTTTGAAAGTGTCGAGAAAAAATATTTTAACTGTAGAATCAAGAAGTGCAACAGCTATGAATTTTCCATTTTGAGATACTCTCACACAAAGCACGCTTTCTTCAAGTTTTAGGGTTCTGGTATGCAGAAGTGAAAGCACTTTAGCCTTTGCTGCTTTTTCATCCACATTTTCTGGCTGAATTAACTCAAAATTCCATAGTTTCACTGTATTATCGCCACCACCAGTCACTGGACCTCTCTTTCAAAACAGTTTATAATAAAAATTTAGATATACACATTGCATTGAACAGATTATAACTAATACTAACCATATTCGGTAATAATGTAATAGACCACAATTCTTTAGAATGTGCAGGTATTTCTTCTAAAACATCCCCTGCTGCAATGTCTGCTATGAGCAATGCGCCTGATTTCAAACCAATTAATAAATGCCTGTCACCAGGTACAAAACATAAGCTCAGTACATAACCAGTCTCAATAGTCTGCAAACAGATTTGTGAAGTTCTGAAATAAGACGATATATAAAATATTAAAATACAAATATATAAACAGTTTTATCACTGAATTTAAAAAAAACAATAAAAATGAAATACCTATTCCAAACTTTTACTGATTCAGCACTTCCTGAGGCTATAGCAAGATTATCAGAGCTAAAACAAACAGCTCTAACTTCGCTGTGATGACCCATTGAAGAAATTGATCGTAAAATTGATGGAACCGATTGCTTATCAACAATATTAGATCTATACATATTCACAGTGTTATTTGCTTGTATGATGGCTATTCGAAATTCACCAGCACTTCCAAGAACAACATCAACAGATTTTATTTTATAGTCAACTTTTAAAGATGACAGTTTCTTTATTTCATCTTTGAGTCCTAGTTCTACCGAATCTACTTCCTCAGCATCAATGTTTTCAATTTCCATCTCCATTTCAGGGTTCCTAAAACAATAATTTAATAGTTATATGTGTGTATGTGTGTTTACATATAATATAACATTTCATATTTTTAACACAAATCTTCATACTTTGACAATTTCTTTTTTTCTCTGTTTTTCTTTCGTTTTCTCAACCTTTTCTCTGATTCTTCATCATCACAAAAGTAAAAGTTATCTAGTGTATTATCCACCCCATGGCATGCAAGTATTTTTCCAGTTTTATCTGGTACTAATGATACAACTCTCCCTTTGCTTGATCTCATAATCACTCCTAACTTAGAACATACTATTGGGCACTAAAAATATTCAGATCCATTATACAAAGTAATAAACAAATTACCTCTAGCAAAGAAAAATGGTGTCAAAATTTCACTCACAGTATTATCCTCTATTTCTGCATCTGGGTTATCTGGTTCTAAAGAAAGATGTTGTATACCATTTTCAATATTTGTGTCTTCATTCTTCTGTGATATTTTCCAAACAGTTAATTGGGAATCAATACTACCAGTTATTAAATATTTATCATCTTTCATCAAAGTCATTGCCCACACCTTATTAAATAAAAATGAGAGAATTAGAAAATCATTTAATTAATGGTAAAACCATTTAAACAAACTATATATAATTCATGTATATAAACAACCTCAGTTCTGTAGCCAGTCAATGTTTTAAAACATCTTTTAGTCTCCAAGTCCCACAATTTAATAAATGTATCCTTTGAAGATGATATAAGTATATTATAGTCCCTCATAAATTTAACTTGAGTAACTATTCCTTTGTGACCAGAGAGACGACATTGTCCAGCCTCTGCCACAGTATCCCACACAATTATTTCAGTATCCTAAGCATAATTATAATTCAATAAATATTAGAGAAAAATTAAAATAGAAAGCAAAAATCGTAGCCTTTGCGATTGCAATGCATTGCTGTAATTGCATCAATACATATCATAAAAATATAATTATACTTAAAAATTAATTTATATGGTGATTATCATTTATATTCATAATTAACAATCAAAATCAGACGTACTATGCTTCCTGACGCAAGCCTATGTCCCATTTCATCATAGCATAAAGTGGAAATAGCAGATTTATGACCTGAATAAACAGTTGCAACATCACCAGTATTTAAATCAAATACGTGAATAGTACCATCAGCATAACCAGCTGCAAGATGAATATTATTTGGACTAGCAGACAAGAATGTCACTTCTATTTTTTCTCCTAACAGCACTTGTCGCTAAGAAAAGAAAAACAAGATAAATCATAATGTCTTTAGAATAACATGTTTTAAATATTTACTTTTTCTCCTAATCTTAAATCCCATATGAGAATGTGTTCACAACCTGCAACAGCAACATATCTACCCTCTTGTCCATCAAGAGTAACAAAAACAATGTTGCATCTAGCACTTGCAATAATATTAAAATTTCCAGCCGATGCCCAGCGTAAATATTGTTTAGTCAAACCCATTTTGTATAATTATGATGAAGAAACCAATTGTCAATAAAGATTTATTTCTGTTCCAATAATTATTTCAATATTAAACAGACATTAAATTGATGCCACAACGACTTATTTCTTATAAACTTTATAAAAGTGTACTGATACAACGTGTTTATATATTTTAAATTCCTTCTTTGCCATATACATTTTTCGATGCAATCATTTTAACTTAGGAAATGACATCTAAAATTTGAAAGGTTTAGTTATTATTTACTAAAATAACCTAACTTTAAATGTTATAAAACACGTGTTTGGAAATTATTAGCCGAAATTGCCAACATAACAACAAAACATAAAGATCATAGTAAGATTTCCAAACATTTTCTTTAATATGCATGGTCGATTTCGAATTAAAAAATGCAGTAATTTCAAAATATATATATAACAGAGAGTTTTTTCTCGGGCATCCATCCAATTAATAAACGACTAAACTATGTTAAGTGTAAAATTATATGTAATAAATCTTACAGTTACAGACGTTTCGAGACTTATTTGAAATATCATGGAAATATCTTTCACGCAATAAGTAAAGAAAGTATTTTAGAAATGTTTATTTTTGAAAAAATAAATTAATAACCAATATCAATATTGTACTTTTATGATCTAACAGAATTTGAATCGATAAAGATATATTCTTCTTTTATCTATAGAAGATATATTTTTTGAAAATGTGGTTTTGAGAATCTCTGACTATTAAACTATTTTTTGTGGTGGTATCGATTTGTCAAATTCTCAAATACCGATCAAACTTCATACATCAAAGGATCCTGACTTCTCATTGGTCTTTTTTCAAATGATGCAATTTTTCCCGTGATGTCATTTCTTTATAAGTGCTGCGACATGTCGGATTGCCCATTTTTTTTATGTGGCCAGATTAGTTTTAGCTTTAAGATGTTTAAAAGTGACAGTTCAACTAATAACACTTTAAATAATTATTTTTGCTTAAAATTCTTTTTGTGATGTTTCTTGACATATAATTTCTTCGCTAAATACACACTTTTATAATAGAACATCACGATGACAGATTAGCTAATATAATGAATTTATTATTTTAATTACACTAACTAAATAGCATAAATTTTCGGAATGGCTTCATTGAAAAGTTCAAATTCTACATCTCGAAGTAACATTAGTGTGTTGAGTCATGTGAAATATGAACATCTGATAGCAGGAATATCTGGAGGAGTAACCTCAACATTAATTTTGCATCCTCTAGATCTCATTAAAATCAGATTTGCAGGTAATATATGAATTTTTATTATACTTTAATTTGAAGAAATTTGTTTCACTTCCTCAATTTTAGTGAATGATGGCAGGACCATTGCGGCCCCAAGATATTCTGGATTGAGCAGTGCCTTTGCAACGATACTTAAACAAGAAGGTGTTCGTGGGCTTTATAGAGGTGTTGTACCTAATATATGTGGGTCTGGAAGTGCTTGGGGATTTTATTTTTTATTGTAAGTTAACTTAAAATTCTAATTAAATTAAATAAAAATAAATTTGAACATGAAATTGAATATTGAAATTGAATTTCATAACAATGATAATTTATATTATTGTAGCCTAGTAGCCGTAATTTGACATTTTTTAATTCCATTAAATTACAATTATAGTTACAATTCCATCAAGAATTATACACAAGGAGGCAATACAAATAAAGCGTTGGGTCCAACAATGCACATGTCTATAGCAGCAGCTGCTGGAATATTCACATTAGCAATTACAAATCCTATATGGGTTGTTAAAACAAGATTATGTTTACAATATGACGATGCCAGAAGAGGCATGAAATCAGAAGAATACAAGGGAATGGTGGACGCGTTTAGAAAAATTTATCATCTAGAAGGTGTGAAGGGATTGTACAGGGTATGTATATTAAGGATAAACATATATATATATATATATATATATATATATATATATATATAAAATGCATTTCACATGCTCGATTTTTAGGGTTTTATTCCTGGTATGTTTGGTGTTTCACATGGAGCTCTTCAGTTTATGACATATGAGGAAATGAAAACTCGATACAATATATATAGAAAAGTGCCAATTGATACAAAGATGGTAAGAATAAATTGTAATATTAAAATTTATATCACTGTCAAATTTTTAGTTATAAATATATTATCAAGGTTATTCAGCATATTATTAGAATGTATTTAATTTATGATAACCTTGTGACCTTTCATATCTTCACCTAGATTCAATTTCAACATAATTTTAAGTACAAAAAGAGTTTTTAAAGCTTTAACAAAGTATATTATTTGATTGATTGATTTTTGTGATCTAATATAAAAAAGACTGTTTTTAGATTATTCTTTAGATCAATTTTTTTTAATAATGTACTTACATTATAATTGTAGGGCACATTGGAGTATTTGATATTTGCTGCAATATCTAAACTTATTGCTGCAGCGGCAACGTACCCTTACCAAGTAGTTCGTGCAAGGCTCCAAGATCAACATAATAGATACACTGGAACATGGGATTGCATATGCAAAACATGGAGGTATGAACAATTGCGTGGGTTCTACAAAGGTCTTGCACCCTATTTGCTTCATGTTACTCCTAATATTTGTTTAGTCATGCTTATCTGGGAAAAATTCACTTCAAATTAATTATTTATTTTAGTAAATGTTACAAACTTTGGAACAAGGGTCACATAATGTTTTTGTCCTGCTTGTAAAGTTTTATTGAAGTATTGGTGTATTACGTGTTTTATACTTTTTTAAAGACAGTCTTATTTTTGTGTTGTTTTGCAAATATTTAAGTACATTTGTATCCATTAAAAGAATTTTATTGGATATTTTCATTAATTTAAATGATCTAAAACAAATAGAACATATTTTTCACTCATAATTTTAATGTGACCAAACTTGAAACTTTTATTTAGATTTAGCGCAAACATGTCTATCTGAGATGTTAAAATATAGATCAATTGTTATGAGATTTATTACATTGAAGTTAAACAAAAAATATAGAAATTCGAATTTAGTACAAAAATTCAAATCAGAATTCAAGTACAAATTAAATAATAGATTATAAAACTAAGCATGAAATATGGGTCTATGTCTTTAAATATATGAAATGATTGAAATTTAAAGTAAAAAAAGATTATAAAACTACTATTACGTTATAATTTTTAAAATGTACTAAACTGTAATAGTAAAAGTTAGACATGCAGAGCTTTTGAAGATTAATATAATAAACAAATCATTCCTGCAACAATTTGAGAAACCACATCACACCTAATATGACAAAAATTCTATATATAAGTGTGCAAAATTGGCTTAAGTTAATACTCTTGTATTAATGATCATTGTGCTACAAATATTGCAATCTATTCAGTTGTTTAGCGCAATCCATTCTATAGTAAAGGAAAAATTCATTAAACACATTGCTGAGTCCCATAGTTACTATACATAGAAGTAATTATCTACTATAATGAACGTAGTTTATGCTACTTTAATTGATATTGTAATTTATTTCAAATTGGAACCAAATTATGCAGTTTCATATGAGAGGTCACATTTAGTTACAATATATGCGAGATAAAACATTATTATATTTGAAAAAAAAAAATGATAGCATAATATCTTCAAAAAGTACGTTTTTAATCAATAATATTGAATCGTTTAGTCTAGTTACAAATAGTAGTTCTATGACAATGGACCTAATTTAATAAAATGATATTTTTGCCGAAGCCAATTTCTGATAGTAATAGTTTCTGATTTAACTATGTTACTGATTGATATATTTTTATATATCCCATTAATATATTACTACAATATTGTAATTATTTATTTTTTCGAAAGTTTTTTTTTGAAAAATGCACATGTCGAAAAGTAAAATATGGTTATTTCGCAAAATCAGCAATTATGTATATACTTACAGAGAAGGATTATTTCAATTGTATTGTTATTGAAATGCAAAAGTTATTAGTTTTAGATATAATTAATTTATTAAATGAATTTTTTGAGTTACTGATACATCAGTAAAAATAATAACGCGCATACATTGCAGTGGATATAAAAACATGAAATTTTAATTCCACTATTTCCGGATCTGCTTTCACAAGTTATATTCAAGCGGGACTTGAAATGTATTATGTAGTAGTGAAAGTAAATTGGTTATATTTATGAATATTTTAAACCAATATTTCAGTTTGAAACTGAGCTTTTTTTTTTAAATATAATTACTGTACTGTGATCACATCTCTACAAATGTTTCGAGTTTATGGTTTAAATGTCGGAATTTAAATAAATTGATAATCTGCAAAATTGATTTTAAATATTTTGTTTTTATATGAGTTTAAAAAATTATATATTGTCTTGCTTATGATCTACAAGCTAGTAAGACATCAATTTTAGAGAAAAAAATGTTGCTAGAAATTTTCACTTGATAAATTGTAAACAAGTGATTTTTTTTTTGTTTGGGTATTTTTATGAATTTATTTTCTTTACAGAACCTAACATAGATTTTAATACATTAAATTTAAAGGCAATGGAGAGATAAAATATTAACAATCAAAATTGCAATAAATAATATATATATATATATATATATTTGTATGTTTATGTACGTATTATAATCATTTACAAAAGTATGTGATATTGCGTTAGATAAATTATTAAAAAACCTACATAATTACTTTAATATGATATAGAATTAATCTATATCATTTGAAAATTATTGCTCATCATCACACTTACGAGCAATATTTGTATATTGGTAGTAGAAAGTAAAATGATATGAATTGACCAACAAGAACAATAAAATGAAAAAAGACATATTTTTATAGAGTATCTCAACATAGTAGATTATAACAGTGAAATATATCGCTATAATAAGTTTGAAATAAATTAAGTAAACTTCATCAAAGCTCTTAAATATCGAAATAAAATGAAATCAATATTTCAATGTTGCAATGGCAAACTCCTTAATGTAGGGTCAGTTGTTTTTTTTTAAGTTTAAATTTATGAATATTATAAGTAATAATTGAGACTAGTAATTAATCAACATTTTATGATGATAATGGTAAAATTTTTATATGTATACTTGCTAATTAAAATTCCGAAACGATATTGAACTTTAAAATGTTATTACCCTATTTTGATAAAGTGGATTTGTATAATTTAGTTATAAAGTCAAAATGATGATTTTATATGCAACATTCATTTTGAAGCCATGCTACTTGTTGTAAGTTTTTTTCTGGAAAATGTTCTGAAAACTTGGGAAAATGCGTAGAAGTGTAATAGCCGCGCCACGATTCAGTTAATTTAATTTTGTAATATCTAATTTTTTAAAATTGGAATCTTGAAAATTTTGACATTTTTTGGATCAATAGAGAATTTTAAAATAATATGTATAGTTAGATATAATTTATAATTTTTAAGAGTTTGTTTTCTCTGTTCAAATAATGCTTGAGTATTGTCTGTTTGATGCAATGATTCACTTTTTATATTATACATTCACAACTTTCACATTAGGTATTTAAACCGTTCAGCACATTGTTATAAAAATATTTTTGAATTTATTTTTGGCTTTTCATTTGTTGATCCAATAAGTGGGAACTTTTTCATGGAACTTCATTGAAGGAGCATTTATAGTTTGTGCTTAACGCCTTTTCTCATTTTCAATTCAAGTTCTGATTTTAAATATATTATTTCAATTCCAAATACTGATCGAATTATTTCGATTCGCAGGTACGAATCGTGGCGCGGATTTTATAAAGGACTTGGGACTAATTTGATTCGAGTGACTCCTGCCACAATGATCACGTTTTTGACTTACGAACAAGTTTCTCATTTTTTGTTGAGCAAATGACGAAGTCGAGAGAACGAAGTCGATAATAGCAAATAGAGAATTCTTTAGAATTAATTGATTTTTTTTGTAATATAGCATTGGACAGACTCTGTGTCACAAAGATGTTGTAAAGCATATGACATTTATTCCTTTGATATGAAAATATTGCTAGGGCATGCCACATTTTGAATAATTATTATTTATTTATCACAATTCTTAGTACATTTATATTTTCCTTTGTTATAATACACAATTGCTATTCTCGTGTGATGATCATTAAGAACTTTTGTAAATATGTACAATTTTGTAATTTATATGTATGTTATTGTTTTACATGTGGAATATCTTTAAAGTTAATTAGTGTTGATATATCTTTGAATATTGTTAATAATTTAATAGATTTGAAAATAATTTATTTTCATTGTATAGTGATCCAATAATTCATTAATTCGGCCAATTCAATAATTCATTAAACTATTGGAATACGAGATACAGAAATTTGTCTCTTGTATTTTTTTTTTTTTTTTTGAACACAATTACTGTGATTACTATTTTAAATGATAAATCATATTGTAACACAACCCTAGTAATATATTCATCGTTTATTGTTTATTATGTATTGTGACACTTTTCTGTTCCCTGTTTGAACAAATGTTACTTAGATTTCCCATAAACAATCATTAAGATGTTAATCTATGATATTTGTAACTATGTTTATAAACACTCCTTTATTTTTATGTACAAAACTTGTCGCATCAATTGTGACTGTCCAAAGATAAATAATTATGTAGTACAATTTTGTGGATAAGATAACTTTTACCATTTGTTATTTAGGTATAATTATTGTTGAGATTAAATATAATATATTAGTAACAATTAATTGGTTTAAATTTTACTTCAAATATAGAACGTATAAATAAATATTACTTCAAATTTAGGCATGTCTGACTGTAAACTTGCAAACCAAAAAAAAAAATTTTGTTCACTTATAAAAATATTACAAAAAATTATAATAATTATGTTTAATCATATAAGAATGTGAATTTCTATTAAAAAAAATGTAATTTGAAGATGTTTTTTCTAATTGGTCTCACTAAAATACTGAACTCTAAAAATTCAATAGTAAATTAACTTATTTAATAACATATATGAAACTGTTTATAACGGCATATTTGTATCAGTTTCAATGCAATCTCTAAATGAGAATCTTTTTAAATAATATAATCTTTGCGATTATGAGATGATCTTAGAAAGATATGAGGTATAAAAACTTATACTGCTGTAACACATTTTAAATAGATTATGATACAATTATATATTTATAAATATATATATATATATATATATATATATATATTTTTTTTAATTATTTTCACTTAGTTAATTAGATAATCTCTGAAATCTATATTTCACACCCGTAAAAGTGGTAACGGTTGACTACATTTAAGATTTCTTAGGCCACTTTATATTATATATATAATGTTTCTATGTAATAATTTAATTTTGAGTTTTAAGAAAGAGTTCGATGGCACAGGGTTCGTTACGGTTTTGTGAATTAAATTAATGTTTTCTATGAAAAGAAAATCTAATCTTATTTGCTACAGTGGACTCCTGTGCAATCGACATACAAAGTTCTTCCTATCCAGACGATGGATGTAAAATGATATCGTTGTAAGTTGCCTTGAATGCTTTTAAAATAATAATTTAGATTTTTTAAAAATATGTCTTATATTTGATAAAATCTTCAGATATATTTATTTAATCAATAGGCATAAGTTAATTGTATCATGATTGTATCCTTCAAACTTAGCCTAATTCAAAAGTTATCTTTAAGCAAAATGTTTTTGATTATTTATTGATAAATAATACTAGTCACAAATCGAAATCTGTGTTAGAAAATAATGAAATATGTTCCAAATATAGTGATATTCAAATAAATGTTCCAGATATAGTGAATGTTTTTGATGCACTAGACTTATGAGAAATAATAAAAGTTATCTCAAATAATCTGGTTTTCAATTCATTTTTGATAATTTTCTAGTAAAAAATAATTAATTTTGATTATTGACATGCTAATTAAAATTTCTAACATGAAAATAATTCTCTAATTTTTCCTGTAATTTTGTATCTAATTTTAATAGGGCGATCGATGTTTGTAAAAAATCATATACTGGAAAGTCTGGAATATTTAATTGATTTAATGCTTGTACAGCAGTGTCAAATTTTTCAATAAAGTTATGCAACTGCTACTACTTTGCAGTTTTGAAGGACATTATCTGTTTAAAATAGTTAATGCCCAGATAACGATTATTTTGGAATTTGTTTATTAGTGCATCCCACAAAATCGAATAATTATTAAAAGTAGGAAGTATTGTATTGAAAATTTTCAGTACAGGGCATTCTGCCCATTAAATAATGAAATTTAGATATTGACTCAATCTCGAGATTCTCGTGAATAAGTGTTTTAAATGTTTCGTAAACAGCGGTTATTTTTTGAAATCACCCGCAAGTTTGGGTATTCCAATTGTTGGCAGACTGGATTTTCAAATGAATTTAGACTCTTGACGCATCTTCCACATTTTTGCTCAAGTACGTCTTCTGTATAATCGAAAAATACACATCTCGTTTTGAAATTAGTCGTGCGACTTCAGCACTGGCAGATACACTATTGGGCGGCATATTCAGGAAAGGTTTTACGATTATGTAAGAAACTTAGAAATATAATGACTTTACCTTGATGTCCTGTAAATGTAATTATATATACTTGAAAATTAGAACTTTGTTCCTGAATCGGCAACTTGTAGAAACTCTCAATCTCAGTTGAGATACGGCTCGGAAAGCCAAAATGTGGTGTGGCCTTGATTAAAATAATCAGATCCCCGGAAAAGCTGGTTAATCTTGAATAATGGTCTGTATTTGAAAACTAAAACGTTCTTCTTCTATGATAATAACAAATAAAAAATGACCTCACTTTAAATAATAAAAGGAAACGCTGGAAGCGTACTGATAACGCACTGAAAGCGAATTGAACACGGAACTGGAAGCGAACTGAAAACGCACTAAACCCGAACTGATCTCATATCGGAAGCCCAGGTCAAAATTTTTGGAAAGAAAAGAGACAGGTAGTCTTTATTTGAACGGAATAATTCGGTTGACCTTTTGCAAACCCGAGATGGCGACTATATTATTATCGACACATGTAAATATTCTTTGTGGCGTCACCACTGTAGGTATAATAATAAACTAATTAAGATACTTACTAAACAATCAGCATGTCGCCCCATCAATAAACATCGTTTTTTGAATTACTCAAATTAGTTGAACCGTGCTCTTGAAATCGTCGACTAAAAATTGTATCCGCACATACATATATACAGGCCCGGTCCTGCCTTGCATGCAAAAAATGCGGGCGCACGCCTTAGGGGGCGCCAAAACGAGATTCGGAAATGAAATTTATAATATATTATTATTTTTTTTTATAACTTTTTTTAAATTGTTTATAATAAACAATCTAAATTAACTATGGATACGGAGACACAAAAAGCATATTCAGTTTGCAATGTGATACAGTAGAAACAATTAATCGATTATTAACTCTACAAGTTAGTAAATTATTGTTCTGCTTATTGTTTAATGTTTATTACATTTTTTCTTCGTTTGAAGTTAACATGAAATTGAAAAAAAATTCTCTAGTGTTCATCCCCTAAGCGCAAACCTACGAAATTAATTATTGGGCGTTATTGATAAAAAATTGCGAGCTGATTTATTTGAAACGGTACTTATAAAAGATTATTATCAACGGTACTTATTAAATTTATTATCAAATCGGATGCTCCGTTCTCTCAAAAACTCGATTTCTATTTTCTGCACTCTTTGCTCTTTATCTCCGTAACTGCTGGACCTGCCTTTGCCAAAAACTAATCAGCTCATCTCCCTATCAATAGGAATCGAATGTTTTTGAAGAACAAATTTTGCATGCGGGCGCTGAGGATCCCAGGACCGGCCCTGCATATATATACACACAAACACACATATCTATTCTCTCTATGGTAAGCCAAAATATTCACAGGGCTTTGAAACGTAAAGATATCAATTAATTTTTTCTAGTATTGAAAACTTTCGAAAATACTTGTTGGTATTTGAAATAAGTAACAACTAATTAATTAAACATAAGTTTATTTTCATGTACAACCAAAACAACAGATGATTTTAATTATGAATCAATTAAATATGTTTTTGAATGGGAGCATTATTTATTATTAATTGAAACCAATATTATCATTTATTCAAACTGTTCTGGCATGTAGAGCATTTGGTGGTAATTGACCAGCGAGAGTACAAGATCGACAACAAAACTTGCTATAATATTTGTGAGTACAATAGCCAGCTCTCAATATCAATGGGCATCTTGCAAAGGCCGGGCTATCAAGACATTGTGGGTGAACATATATTCCTAAGAAAGATAAATATTGAATAAGCTTTCATCGTATATTATTTCTGTTATAATAATGTATCATAAATGCCGTCAAAATACCTGCAACAGTGACATCTACTTGATCCTGGGCAGTTGAGTATTGATTTTGGGCAACACATTGATAAGTTCCGGAGTCGTTTGTTGTTGCATTTACTACTTTTAAACTGTACTCATCTGTCACAAAATGATAAATTATTAATAATTGTATATTATCATTTCAGGCTGAACAAATAATCTATTTTAATTGCATTTTTCACAAAAGTAATTTCATATCTTCATTTACATCATTTCTGTTACAGATAAATTCTTACCATATAAAACGTGTCCTGTGTTTTCCATCTGAATTGGCTTGCCATCTTTATACCAAGTGATTACAGGCGTTGGTGATCCAGTTACATCACAACGTAATTGAAAATCATCATGTGAATTTACATTTGAATCAGGCCCAAATAATCGTACGTTTAATGATTCTGTATAAAACAGATAAATTGAATAAAAAAATGCTCTTGAATAGGGACTGTAATTAGGGCGACTTTGCTCAAGACGCATGATGTCATAATATCGTTTCTCATTCAAGAGAGGTAATTTCGTGAAAAATTATTGGAAAATTAGCAGTATCATAGATTGTTCTGAAGTAATTTAATAAATGTTGCATGAAACTGTTAATTTAATTGATACATTATTACTTTCATTTTTAGCTTGGACGTTTGTTTCTTGTTTCGCTTGTTAATTAAACTGATGATAAAACAATCGACAACAAATCAAAATCATTGGTACTATATTAAAAATATGGCTTAAATTATATAATTTAACATATAAATTTAAATTTGTGCAATTTAAGTGCAAATTGGTGTAATACAAATTTAAAACTTGATATACGTTATAAATTTCCTACATTACGTTATAAATACATACATGTATATATATAAATATATAAATATATATATATATATGTATATATATATACAAAGATAATTTAAATAATAAAACTTGAATTATTCTGGTGTAAGTTAACAAATCAACAATATAAGATACTAACCACGAAAAAAATACAAACTATAAAAATACATACTCGACGCAAAGCGTGCAAGTCGTGCATTGTATTACTTTTAATTAAAACATATGCATGCAGTAAACCTAAAAATATTTTAACTTTTATAAGATAATACTCTATAACATAAATAAAACTAATATTATACCTCGAGTGTCAACATATGAAGAAGAATCATTGTAAAGCGGCCTTGATCTCTGTCCATCATATCGGTTACTATCGTCAACTATAAATTTACTGTATTCATCACTTACTGGTCCTGGCACTGGTCCTAATGTCATAACCGCTATAGACCAAGATGATGGTTTTCCAAGGAAATTATACGTTTGGCAAGTATAGATGCCCAATTGCTGGATGGTGACTCTTGCAATTCGGATCGACCCATCCCTGTTCTGTTCATAAATAGTGCCCGATGTCGGTAGGACAGTCTTGCCTCGCCACCAACTAACATGAGGCGTCGGCCATCCGTAATAAAGGCAACGCAACGTCAGCGGCGAACCGAGAGTGGCCAAGGCCGTGGCGTTATCGTCGCCCACTATGCCCGATGCATGAGGCGTGGGCTCTACGTAACGTAACATCAAATTATCATACATTATCATATCACAAATATCGTGCAAGCAACGGAACCATTAGTCTAAGAGCCAGTGAACTATTTGACTAACCTGTTTTCACAAAGCCAGAATTTTTTTTAATGATATTTTATTATCGGCCCATTAAGAAAGTACCATTCTGGCAGTCATTCCGCGGTTGCGTCATCATCCCTTCAATTTGTGAAAATGTAAAAAAAAAAAAAAATTATAACTTGCTCGCACAAGGCTCAAATTTTGAGGGTGTCTTCTTTTAACTGTTCAGAAAGCATATGTAAAAAGCCAGCCCATTCTGGCGGTTGCAAGGGTCTGCCAGTCGAGTACATAATAATCACGACGCGCAAGGGTGTGGGCGCTTTGCCATACATAATTGACTAATACCCTTGTATTTGAATAATTTATACGCCATTTTGAAGGTCATTTTGAAAACATCCGTTATACCAAACTTCAACTTTGTATCTCACCTTATGGCCGAGATATCATTGAAAATATGCCAAAGTGGCCCCTTTTTCAAACTCAATTTTTGGCGTAACCATAAAAGATATCGAAAAACAAATTATGGTTTATTAGCGTTACGCGCGGGTGTACTGGTTCTGGTTTCTTCAATTTTTCCATGTGTTCCACAAATTTGATTTAAACCATATTTGCAGTACTAAAAAGAAAACAATAAGCTTTTAAATAACGCTAATAATAAAGTAATTAAACAAACGCACTATCCGAAAACATTAATGAAAATTATTTTATCCTTTTTTAGCTAATAATAAAGGATTATTTAGCATATATACTATACATTATGTGGTTTAAGCCAATATGAGTAGATCACGCAATTTTTTTTTTCGATATCTTTTATGGTTACGCCCAAAAATTGAGTTTGAAAAAGGGGCCACTTTGGCATATTTTTCAATGATATCTCGGCCATAAGGTGAGATACAAAGTTGAAGTTTGGTATAACGGATGTTTTCAAAATGACCTTCAAAATGGCGTATAAATTATTCAAATACAAGGGTATTAGTCATTATGTATGGCAATGCGCCCACACCCTTGCGCGTCGTGACTATTATGTACTCATCTGGCAGACCTTTGCAACCGCCAGAATGGGCTGGCTTTTTACATATGCTTTCTGAACAGTTAAAAGAAGACACCCTCAAATTTGAGCCTTGTGCGAGCAAGTTATAAAAAAATTTTTTTTTACAAATTGAAGGGATGATGACGCAACCACGGAATGACTGCCAGAATGGTACTTTTTTAATGGGCCGATAATAAAATATCATTAAAAAAATCTTGCTTTGTGAAAACAGGTTAGTCAAATAGTTCACTGGCTCTTCTACTACATATCACGCATCGCTACAATTCTGTACTATTGATAGATTCCATATGAGTAATACGATGTACACAAATACAATAATTCATACTCTTATTTGTCTTAAGCTTTACTTATTATTACCAAATTATTCATATTTCAATCCTCGATGCTCGTATTGTTTTTCTCATATATACTACTCTATTCACAAACTTTCCAAATCAATTTAAACTAATAAATATTCTCAAACCCAATACAACATGCAAAAACTTGTTACATTACCTACTGTAGTTTTTATACTGGATCTATATTATATACAAAAAAAAAATGCAATCTTCACAACCATTCAAATATTAATGTTAATCAAAAATTACTTTTACTTTATTTTGATGACATTAAATTACCAATGACAAATATTATACCTAATATCCGTAATTCTATATTTTCAGAGACTGGATGTCCAACGCCGTTATCAGCACTACAAGTATATTGGCCACTATCTTTTTCGCTCACTGAAACTATTTGCAAAGTATTATCTGGTAGCAATCGATAATTATCTTTTGTTCCATCCACCTAGAATGAAGATACAAAGTTGAAATTCTTTTGTTTCACTACAACGTTGAGTTCAATTTTCATATAAGCAAAGTCTGAATTGAACACTGATCAACTCAATTTTCGGCTTGACTAAATTAAATGTAAACTAGCATACATTAGAATAACACGCCAAAATATAAGCATAAAGGTGTATCTTTGTCAATATATATATATATATATATATATATATATATATATATAAAAGATTCTTACAACTTTATTTTTCTTCAACCATGACACAGTTGGAGTTGGTTTTCCAGAAATTACACTACAATGCAGTTCAGCAACACTACCCTGTTCAGCGTCAACTCGGGTAGAAGGCACAAACAATCGTGGTGGTGTATTATCTAATAAATAAATAAAACAGTAATAAATAATCAATATTCAATATTACCATTCTAATTTGATCATTTTAGACTCGAGAACCAAAGAATTCATTAGGAAATTAGAACTCTTGAATGCACAAGTTACTTGAATTTTTGAAAAATTCAAATTGTAAATTATTATGAATTAGAAATAAAGTTGGGTCTGGATAGATATAACATTATCTGTATTAAAAGTCTGCAAAAATAAGAATTAAAATTCTTTTAATTATCATGCAATGATAATTATTCAGCAATTATTAATAAGAAGAGTGGAATTTATACATACCAGTAATGTTAGGTGCAACTGTAGTTAATAATTCAGTAAGATTGCTTAATTTACTAGGCATAGTACATATGATACTACATCCATTTTGACAGCATTTTGCTGGACCCCGACATTGAGCGTCTGTATGGCATTCTCGAGAACATCTATCTTCCTCATGTCCAGCAACACAAAACTGACTGGACAAGATCCTGGTTTGTTTTCTAATGAAATAATTATTAAAATAGATTTATTCTTCTACATTTATTCTAATAAAAATATTTTTATTTTATAAAGACATAGCCTATGGAACGAAACTTACCGAGCCGACATTCTCCAATGAATTGTTCTACCGAAACTTCATCTCGTTGCAAGTCTATTCCGCATGAACTTCCTTCGTGACAGCGGATATCAGAACAAGGATCAAAGCATGAGCATTGAACACAATTATTTTTATCCACAGATTTATGAATTCCGTAAGGACAACGTAATTCTCACACGATCGATCGTCATTGATGCAATTTTAATAATATTCTCTAAATGAAAAAAACAAATTAGCAATCATTAAATCTTCTTAAAAATACAGGTCAAACCGTAGTAATGAAATATCGTTAACATATTCAACAAATAGACAATAAATTCGCCTCAAATTATATTTATGAAGCCAAAAAATTAGTACATTGTATTCCTATTCTCAAACCAATTTCAATAAATTAATTTTTCAGCCTGTGTGACATAACATATAATAAAAGAATAACAGTTACCTTCAGGTCGTCTAACACAATGACTTTCACAGAGCTCTTCACTTTCAAATCTGTTTTGGATTGCCCTCGCCCCTCCATAGACAAATCTTCGCATCGTTGTGTTTCATTGTTGAAATACCAAGATGGTATGTGGAACGAACATGGTCCAGAGGAAACAGGATATGAACAGGCATCTTGCTGATGTGTTGTCTCGAGACAGTGGCGCCTACCACCAGAAAATTAATGTAAAACACAATCCAATGGTAGTAAACATTAATGTACAATATATAGAAAATACTATTTTTTTTTTTTCAAATGTAAAGATGTCTATAGACAGCTGGAATGCATATATATATGCATTCCAGCATGCACATAGTTAGATAAAGGTGAATAATAATAACTAAAGGTAAAAGTAAGTAACAATACTAAAAAAAAATTGATGTTAATGTCATTAATAATAATATTTTGTTAGTAAAAGATCATTGCTTTATCTATTTTATGTGAGCTATATATTCACAATAAAAATATTCAAAATTCAAGATAATTTCTTGCAATCTCATATTTAATAATCTTGGCTTATATCATTTATATAGTTATTATTAGATATAATTGAAATAATCAAATAATTAATAAATACCACTGTTGCATAGTGAATAGCATTTGGATCAGGTCCCCTGTGGCAGACATGCATGCATTCACGTAATGTGTTAAAACGATTCTGGTTTCCCTGACATCCTCCGTAGTGGAACTTGTTGCAGGTGCCAGATCTCGCGTCATAATACCACTGCACTACATATGAATCGCACGGACCTTGTTCGGCAGGCAAATTACATGAATCTACAACATTTAATTGTATGAAATGATAATTAACAAATGGACATGAAAAAAAAATGTTTACTTTATTTTGACATATTTTGGAAGATCTAAACTTTTTTTCAAAGCAATCGTACTGCTTTACTGCATAAAGACGAAATATCAAAGCGCGTAAGCGTCGCGTCGCCGTCCTAACACGAACATTGGTACGGAACCCATAGGACTGTAAACCAAATTCATACTATTGTTAAAATATCTATAAAATATCTGATAATTTGATGTGCATAAGTCTATGATCATTTTTGACCGCCAAATGGCATTTTTTTTTACTTTTTTTATTAGTTCTCCGAAACCGCTAGACCTGCCTTATGAAAATTTGATCGGTTCTTCACCTTGTCAATATAAGTAAAATGTTTTTGAATTATTAAAATCGACGCTCCGTTCTCTTAAAAAAATGAGTTACTGTTTTTGGCACTTTTTGCCCCGTATCTTTGGAACGGCTAGATCTGCCTTCGCGAAAAACTAATCACACGTCTCCTTATTCAATACTAATCGAATGTTTTTTGAATTATTCAAATCGGTTGATCCGTGTTTGCGAAATTGTCGACGAAAATTGTATCCGCACATACTACACACACGTACATACAACATACATACACACACACACATACACACATACATCCATTTTTTCTAAGGTATGCCAAAATGTTCAGAAACCTTTGAAACGTAAAGATATATAAAAATTTTCATTTTCGATTTTTTTGCGATTACTATAACTTGCCCTACGGGAAGTTAATAAAATACATACTTTTTGTATTTTTGAGGAATTTAAATTATTATACATTTTGCAATCGCAATTATGCAAAAGTATTTATTAAAATAAAGGAAAGTACGTATATAAATGTTTTAATATGGATTTTTGTACCAAATATAATAAAATAGACTATTATAATTACCTCTGGAATATACTGCCGAGTATTTTCCTTTCCCTTTCTCTTTCTCTTTCCCCCCTTTCCCTTTCCCTTTCTCTTTCCCTTTCCTTTCTCTTTTCTCTTTCCTCCCTTCACGTTGCCTGTCGATATTTTCGTCGGGTTCCCTCGTTCTGGTACATGGCGAGGTTCTTCGCGGCATCCTATCAGAACACCTTTGCAGACATGACAATTCGTCTAAGAAATTATTTCCATTGCCACCACATCCTCCCATAGTAAAAACCTCTGCATGTTTGGGCTAGAGTGTCATAACCAACGTTGAGTATAATTATGACATTCTCCTACAAGACTTGGTAATGTGCAACCATCGCGGGCTGTAATTAATGCATTTAATTTAGCATAAACAAATTATACTAAAGAAAACAGGCGCACAGTGTTTAAGTTTATGATCTATTATATGATTTGTGCAGAATTCTAAAAAACCTCACATTGTAAAATATTTGTTTCATTGATTAAAATTCTACATACCCTTTACAGAAGGACCGTAATGTTCGCAATCATCGCGTGTAGCAAAATTGTTCTCATTGGCGCCACAACCACTATAGTAGAATGGAACACATCTCTTCTGATTGGTGTCATAAACCAACGAGATTCTTGTTCTTCGCAAGTGCCTGGTTCTCTTGGCAAGTAACAGTAGCTAAAGGCCACAAAAATATGTATTTATATTTACATACATATACATAAAAACCATATGTTTTTCAGGACAGGTATTATTAATTGTCCATTGTCAAATTTTGAAGTAAAAGACACTTTTCTCTCATGGTTTCCTAAAGAAGGAAACATCCCATATTCAAAAAAGTTGAATAAAAAATTTTAAAAATTATGTAAATAATTTTCGGAATAAAAAAGGAGGCTTTTAAATGGCAAGGTAAAATGCCTCTTGCTTCCACTTTATTTCTTATTATATACCAACGACATTATAAGGTGTCAATCATACGAGGTCTGTTCAAAAAGTACCCGGAATTTTCGTTTTTTCAAAAAATATTTATTTATTCGTCTACATTAATGTGGTCCCCTTCAAAGTAGTCCCCCCCCAGATATAATACACTTATGCCAGCGTTTTTTTTCCAATTTTCGAAGCACCCTTGATATTCACTTTTTTGATATGTCCTTGAGCACTCTCAGCGATTTTCTTCAATCGAGGAAACCCGCCGTCCTTTCATGGGTCTCTTCAACTTTGGGAATAGGAAAAAGTCACACGGAGCCATATCTGGTGAATTTTGCACTTTGCAACACTTTATTTCATTTTTTACGCAAAATTTAATACAAATTCTTTGACTTTTTCAATTCTTCCATTGTAAAAATCGCCGAGCTCAGAAAAACACGTCGACCTTAGCGACTACCACAGACAAAGTAAGACAGTGAATATAGCTGAAAATTTCATCATACTTTTGTTTGTATACCAACACAATAAAAAAAAAATTTTGACAATCAGACCCACTCCAGACCCGCGAAATTTAATTATTAGTATTCCGGTACTTTTTGAAACACACCTCGTATATTATTTTTCTACGGCATTGAATCATATATGACTTATCAAAAATAAAATGAGTAGGTATTACTAAAGTTTCTAATTAGTATACATATATTCTTTCTGATACCTTGAAGAGCTTCTTTTGTTGCACATTTCTGTTGACATGCAGATTCACTAATAAAATTGTTGCTATTTCCTTTGCACCCACCAAAGCGGAATCTTTGGCAACTCTTTGAATTTTTATCGTAATACCACCGCTCAAACGATCCTCTACAAGGACCCTCATCCATTTCCTGATCGCACTATCTGCAAACAAATAACAGGTTAATAAAAATTTAATATATGCAGCATGCAACCATTTAATATTACT